AATTGGAGCCTCCCAGCATAAGACAAGTGTTTATCCATCTACCCTTGAATCCTTGCAGTCACTTTTTTCACTAGAGGCCTACATTAAGAGATTGTGAGCTGCTTAGAAGAAAGAGGGACTCTAAGATATCTAAAAGGAATAGACCCTTGAGAGACTCCTAGAAGCTCTCTAAGCTCAATTTGAACTTCAGCAGAAATCCCACAAAAGTAGACTTCACTTTTATCAAGATTAGCAGAAAGGCCTGAAGCTTTTGAGAATTTAGAAAAAGCTTAAAAGAGAAGCTAGACAGAATTACTATCTGCTCTAGAAAACATCAATAAGTCATCAGGAAACATTATATGAGTTAGGCTTAGTTTTTCACATCTAGGATTGAAATTGAAATCAAGAACCAGCCTAAGCTCATAAAGGCATCTGGAAAGGTAATGCCAATAGCAAAAAGGAAGGGGGACATAGGATCATCTTGTCTTAATCCTTTTTTAGCTTCAAAGGGAGGGCCAAGAAAACCAATAATAAGGATAGAATAAGAAACAGAAGTGAGACAAATCAAGATCTAGTTGATAAAGCCCTGAGGAAAACCAAGCTCCTGCATAACAGCAATCCAAAAACCCTATTCAACAAAGTCACAAGCTTTCTTGATATCCACCTTGACCATGTATCTAGGAGAAATAAATTTGTGATCATAACCCTTGATCAACTCAGTTGCAAGGAGGATGTTATCTCCAATATGCTTGCCTTGAATGAAACCTGCTTGAGCATCATCAATAGCCTCACTAATGATAGCAGCAATTCTAGCAGTGATTATCTTGGAGATAAGCATCTAAACAACAGTAAAACAAGCTATAGGCCTAAAATCCATAATATGATAGGCGTTAGGGATTTTAAGAACAAGAGTAACAGTTGTACACTTCCATTGCTTAGGAAAAGTTCCCTTAGTAAAGAAATCAACAACAATTGCATAGATATCACCTTTCACAATATGCCAAGCTCTCTTAAAGAAAAAGGAGTTAAAGCCATCAATACCAGGAGCCTTAGTGTTATCAATACCTTTAAGAGCATCATCAATTTCAGTATGAGAAACAGGCTGAATAAGGTAATTCTGAGCTGCACTACTAAGCTGCTTACCTCTACTCATAGTAAAAAGGTCAATAGCATGAAGCCAAGAAGCCTTAGTCCCTAAAAGGGACTTGTAGAAAGAAATTCTCTCATGTGAAATAGCATCAGGATCCTTAAACAACTCCTGATTAGAATCAAAGATAGAATCAATTCTATTCCTTTCTTTCCTAGTTTTCATAACTGAGAAAAAATAGTTAGAATTTCCATCACCAAACTTAATCTAGTTTATTCTAGACTTTTGGTTGAAGATTCTCTCTTGGATGTCATTCTAGTACTTGACAATCTTAATAGCATCTGATTATCTAGTATATAACTCCACGTCATTAATATTCTAAGCCATTAAATTCTGAATCTCGGCAAGAGCAACATGAGCTTGATTAATTTTCTCACTAATATTACCAAACTGCTTGTTATTCAAGGACTTGATACTAGATTTCACAATTTTTAGTTTCCGCCAGACAGAACCACCAGAATAACAGGTCTGGGAAACAATATATATCATGAAAATTATGGTACTCAGCTATACAGTTTAAGAATCTTAAAGGCCTACCCTTTCCTACAGGAGCAGGACAAATATCCAAATGAACTGGATTATGATCAGATAAAGAAGGAGCCAGGTAGACAGTTCCAACATGACCATGGGAGTCCAATCAAGCTTAATTACTATAGACTTTGTCAATCCTAGAAAGATTTATAAGACTAGAGTGAGCCTTGTTTGACTAAGAATAGAAAGCTCCCTTACTCTTGATCTTAGTAAGACTCAAATCATCAATAAAACTCTTAAAATCCCTAGTCTCATGCTCAGTAATATCATTACCATGAAGCCTGTCTGAGGAACTAAGAATAGAGTTAAAATCACCAGCACATATCCAAGGAGAATGCTGAACAGAGAGATTTTTTATACCCTTCCACATGGGAAGCCTATCATGGATTGAGTAAAGACCATAGGTAATAGTGAGCTAAATCTGATTAGAAAGATCCTTATTAAGGATAGTGCAATGAATGAATTGCTCATGAACTTGCAGAACATTGACACTAACACTATATGCATTCCAACCAATCAGAATCCTCCCTTTAGGAGAACAGTCATAATTGCAAGTCCAAGACCAAGCAGAACAAACTGCTTTTGAAATTTAGGGACATTTTTATATTTAACTTTAGTTTCAAGCAACCTAACAACATCTACCAAATGAGAATGAAGTAACCTCTTCACAGAAGCCACCTTGACAGGGTCACTCAGACTCCTGACATTCCAGATAGAGATAATCATGGCACCAAAGGGGGATTAACCTCACCCCCGCTTGGATTAATGGATTAAAGGGTTTTGCTTGCGTTGACTTTCTGTTGACTTTCATCTCCAAGCGATTTCCATGGCGATTTAAGTAGCTAGGTAGGGTTCTTCATCTAGCTTCTTCTTCATCATGGCACGCAAGAAGAAAACATCAACTCCTCTCACGCAAAACACTAATCATGCTCCTTTTAACAAGATCTTGGATAATCTGAGAAAATCCGGGATCTTTTTAACTGACCCTATAGCTGAAGCAGATGAAATGGTGACTCCTCCTTCATATCTGGTGCATTCAACTGCTGAAAAGGTATCCAAAGGTGACTTGAGAATGCTGGAAAGCATTCATAGGAGTTCGATTGCCAAAAATCAAGCTTAATCTAATAGAATAGTAACTAAGGTTTCTGCGGTTAATGTTCCATTAGTTACTGGGAAAAATCAGAGCTTGATGGTTACTCCCTTGCTAATCCTAAAGCTTCGAAGGAGTCTGATGACTTGAATCATGTTCCTGAAGCTCCTGCTGAAGAATGGAAGGACCTATTCAAAAGAAAGCTGAATGCGAAAGGAACCTCCCTGTCTTTCATTACTTCTGAGATAAGGGATGGTAAATCAATTGCTAAACTTAGTTCTGCTGATATTCTTGAGGGAAACCGGAAATGGGGTAATGCTCTTATTTTCTATGTAGTTGGTTATTCTCCTACTATTTCTGTAGTCCATAAGTTCATTGCTGATAAGTGGAATCACGTAGCTAAACCAGACATATTTTGGCATGATGAGGGATATTTTATCATTAATTTGAAATCTGTAGATGATAATAATGTTATACTATGCTCTGGACCCCACATGTTCTTTGGCAAACCAGTTATTGTAAAAGCTTGGTCTGATAAGTTTGATTTTCATGCTGAAATCTTGAGAACCATACCTTTGTGGATTAAGCCACCTAATCTGCCTTTGAATAGATAGGGTGTTGAAAATCTAAGTAGAATTGGTAGTTTGCTTGGTGTTCTTGTGTGTGCTGATGAATGTACATCTAGACAGCTCAGGGTCTCCTTTGCTAGACTTTTTGTGGAAATTGATGTTACTAAGCCTCTGCCTAGTTCTGTCTAGGTTGAGAGTCCTGCTGGTGAGCTAATTGAGATTAAGGTCCTTTTTGAATGGACACCATCATTTGCAAAAAGTGCAATAAGGTGGGGCATGACTGTGCTACACCTCAGAAGTCAAAGCAGAATCAAAAAGGTAAACAAAAAACTGCTCCAACTTAGGTTAAAAAAGTTTGGGTGCCTAAGAAAGCTAATCCTGCTGGTAAAGATAAAGCTTCTGAACATGTTATCCCAGTTTCTCAAGTTCAGAAACCTTAAGAATGGCAGGTCCCTGGCAAAAAGTCAAAGAAGAAAGCTAACAGGAAAATCACTTTCCCTGTTACTGTCATAAACTCAAACACTTACCTTCCTTTGGCTACTGATAATGATGTTGTGTTTGATATTTATGATGAAACTAATGATTCTTACGGGGGTGATTGTAATCCCTCTTTGAGGATATGTTAGTGTTATCATGGAATGTAAGGGGTCTTAATGACCCTGGGAAGATAGCTTCTGTCAAGAAGCTTCTTTCATAGCACAAAATTGATGTTATGTGTCTTTTAGAAACTAAAGTAAAGAAACAAAATAGTGTGAATATTCAGAAGAAGATTTTTTTCTCTTGGTCTTGGCATTGTAACTACTCTCACTCACCTAAAGGTAGAATTTGGGTGTGGTGGAAAGTTGAGTGTCTTACTTTGGATGTTCTTTTTTCTACTGAGAAGTTGGTTCATTGCTTACTTAGCACCAAGGATTTTCATACTTAGATTATGGTTACTTTTGTTTATAGTTTCCATACTATTCAAGACAGATTATAGTTATGGAGTGGTCTTAAGGGTCTGCCTAGTACTCTCTTGCCTTGGTTATCTACTAGAGACTTCAATTCTGTCTTGTCTGCTGATGATAGGCTAAATGGGGTTGATGTTCCTGAGTATGAGACTAGATATTTTCAGCAATGTATTGATGATTTGGCTCTTGTTGAAATCAAAAGCAAAGGCTCTTTTTTCTCTTGGTGTAACAAAGCTCATGAGGGTCCTAGAAATTTTTCTAGGATTGATAGAGGTTTTGTTAATCAAGAATGGATTAATTGTTATGGTCATGTTGAAGTTGTTTACTTGCCTCCTTCAATTTCTGATCATAACCCTGTTGTTTATGAAATCTTTCATGCTTTGCATGGGAAAGGGAGACCTTTTAGGTTCCTTAATTGTCTCGCTGAGCATGACAGTTTCTTGTCCGTTGTGGAAACTGCTTGGCAAAGCACTGATTCTGGAAATGCTATGGATGATATTTGGTGTAAGCTTAATCATGTTAAGGCTGCTTTGAAAAATTTGAACACTCAGAAGTTTGGTGATATCAGTGCAAAACTTGATTCTGCTCAAAATCATCTCACTGATATGCAGTAGCAAATCTCTAGTGATGTTACTAACACTGATCTGTATGCTCTGGAGATGGAAACTATTGCAAATGTGAAACATTGGTTAGGCATCCAAGAAAGTGTTTATAGATAAAAATCTAGGATTGACTGGATGCAGCTTGGTGATGGGAATAATCATTATTTTTTCTCAGTCATGAAGCAAAGACAGAGCAGATATAGAATTGACGTTATCTATACTGAACAAGGTGTTCTGCTGAAAACCCCTGCTGCTATTGAAGATGAGATTACAGGTTTCTATAAGAAGCTGCTTGGTTCTAGGGCCTCTATTCTCCCGGGTTGACTTGAGTACAATAAGAAAAGAAAGACAGTTGTCTAAGGCTGCTCATGATTCCCTTATTGCCCTTGTTAATATTGTAGAGATTGACTTGGCTCTTAAGGGCATTGACAATACTAAGGCTCGTGGGATTGATGGTTTCAATTGTTTTTTCTTTAAAAGAGCTTGGAACATTGTGAAATCTGATGTTTATGCTAGTGTTATGCACTTCTTTAATACTGGCAACATGATGAGGCATTGGAATTGCACTACTGTTACCGTAGTTCCTAAGGTGCAGAACCCCTCTTATGCCAAAGATTATAGGCCAATTGTTTGCTGTACAGTCTTGTATAAGCTGATTTCTAAGATTTTTTACTGCTAGGCTTGCTGCTGTCTAGCATAAGATTATTGATAGTGCTCAAGCTGGGTTTAAACCTGGTAAGCATATATAGGGGATAACATTTTCCTTGCAAATGAGTTATTAAGGGTTACACTCATAAATACATCACTATAAGGTGTATGCTCAAGGTTGATCTTAAAAAATCTTATGATTCAGTTGAGTTGAGCTTTCTTAAAACTGTTATAGCTGAGCTCAGCTTTCCTGCTCAATTTATCAGTTGGATTAGGGGCTAACTTTCTTCAGTTACCTTTTCAATCTTGAACAATGGTGTCCCTGCCAAACCTTTTCCAGCTAGGAAGTGTCTTAGACAAGGTGATCCTATGTCCCCCTTCCTTTTTGCAATTAGGATGAAGTATTTGTCTAGGTGTCTTTTTGAGCTGAATCAGAACCCTGACTTCAATTAACACCCTAGGTGTGAAAAAATGAATTTGACTCATCTCGTGTTTGTTGATGATCTGCTTATGTTCTCTAGGGCAAATTCTGGTTCGGTCTCTCTTCTTTTTCAGGCTTTCACCAAGTTCTCTGAAGCTTCAAGGCTTTCTGCAAATCTGGACAAGAGTGAGATCTATTTTGGTGGTCTAGCTGAGGATGATCAAGCTAAGCTCAGAGCTTTGGTGGCTGTTGCTCCTGGGATTATCCCTTTTAGATGCCTGGGGGTTCCCCTCTCTTCAAAGAAACTCACAATTACTCAGTATAAACCTTTGGTTGATAAGGTGACTCCAAGAATCACTAGGTGGGCTGCCAGATTTTTGTCTTATGCTGGTAGATTACAACTGGTTAAGAGTGTCCTTTTTGGTGTTCATGCCTATTGGGCTCAGATCTTTGTCTTTCCCAAGAAGATTCTAAATGAAATTGAGTCAAAATTTAGGATCTTTCTTTTTGGACTGGGAAAGCTAATCCCTCAAAGAAATCCTTAGTTTCTTGATCTCAGGTTTGTCTCCTTAAGGTTAGTGGGGGGTGAAATGTAATTTCTCTCCCTGAGTGGAACCTTGCTGCTATTACCAAACTTCTCTAGGATTTGGTCCATAAAGCAGACAGCCTTTGGGTCAAATGGGTTCATACTTATTATTTCAAGGAGAAACCATGGTGGGGTATTGCTGCTCCTAAGAAATGCTCTTGGATGCTTAAAAGTATTTTGAAATGCAGGGTTATCATTGACACTATTTGTAACTGGGATTCTGTAATGCAATTTGGAAAAGTTGAAATCAAGAAAAGCTATCAATGCATCAGCATACAGGCCCCTAAGGTTGGTTGGAGAAGACTTTTATGCAATAATGCAGCTTCTCCAAAAAGCTTATTTGTTACCTGGCTTGCTGTCATGAATAGATTATTGACTAAGGACATGTTACTTAGTAGGAACATCAACTATGATCCTATTTCTTTTCTTTGCAATCAGAGCTTTGATACTGCAACACCTATTCTTTGAATGCTCCTTTAGTATAATTGTGTGGTTGCAGATTCTTCAAATCCTGGACTATAAGATAAATGTCAGTCAGTTTGTAGCTGAAATGACTTGGGTTTCTAAGGTCTTTAGGAAGGCTAGACCTAAGAACAAATTGTTGGGGATGTGCTTTGCTGAAGCTGTTTATCATATCTGGTTACAGAGGAATGTTGTGATTTTTACACGAAGCTGCAAGACTGTTGATACTGTGATTAGTGATATTATGTTTTTTGTAGCTTGTAGATGTTCTGAGTCTGATAGACATCTGCTGATCTTGTAACTTTGTTTTGTTGGCTTTGTGTTGTCTTGGCTGGTTTAGCCTATCTGTTTTGCAGTTTTGTACTCCTTGTCTGCTTTAGTTTCCTTTATCTCGTCTTGGTTCCCAAAACCCTTCCTAGATGATGGCTTGGAACTTGAGTCCAGTAGGTGCCCTTGGATCTGCCTAGTTACCTTCCTAGAAGGTGGCTAGATTAGGTGTATGGGCTATTGGTGGTGGTTTAACCTAGTTTAGGTCTTGCGGTGTTATGTTGTCAGTTATAGCTTAGTTATTGTAAGTTGTAACTGTTCCCCTTTGGTAATAATATTCTCTATTTACCAAAAAAAAAAAAAACTCACCCCCTCTTGGATTAATAGTGAAACCACGTGCACCCTCTGCGCAAGCTGATTAACTCTTGTTTGATGACTTTTTATCTTCCTTCCAACTACTCTTCATCCCTTTATCAGAGTTGTTCTGGGAAGTTTGAACATTTGGGATGATTACATACTGCCCATGAACAGAGACATCAGTGGAGATAGCAACAGAAGCAAGAGCTTGACTAGGCTAAGGAACCTAGACTTGCTTCTAGTTGGGTGCTATAGCAGCTGGTTGATTAGGCTGAGGCTGCTTAAAACCAGCAGGCACAGGCTTAGCAGAGCAGTCATGGCCAACCTTACTGCACTTAGAGCAAAAGAGTGGAGCCCACTCGTACACAACCTTAAGCTCCAGCATTTCCTTTGAAGGGCTTTCAACAAATACAAAATTAGGCATAGGCTTTGTGAAATCAATTTCAATTAGGACCCTAGCAAAAGACACCCTAAGTTATCTAGTTGTGCATTCATCTGCACAAATTGGCACTCCAAGCAAGCTGCCAATACAACTAAGGGTATCAGGTCCCCAACAAGTAAGTGGCTGATTTGGAAACTTGACCCATAAAGGAACAATTCTCTGAATTTCTGCACTAAAATCAAATTTAGGACTCCATGGCTAAACTATTGTTGGATTTTCAAGAAACATATGAGGACCAGAACAGAGTATAGTATCCTTATTATCAAAAGTACAAAGATTGATGATAAAATACCAATTATCATGCCAATAAACATCTAGTTTCTACACAGAGCTCCATTGTTGAGCTATAAATCGATAGACAACAACAATAGCAGGGTAAAAGCCAACTATATAGAAAACTAAAGCATTAGACGACTTCTTATTACTTTCACTAAGTTCAGAATCCTGAAGTTGAGCAACCTTCTTCCCATCTTGAACCTTCGGGGCAACATAGGACAGGGGAGCTCCTTTAGCAGTCAGCAAACCAAAGAAAGGAGCACCTTTATGTGCATTCTATTCCGAGGGAGATGTAGAATAATGAACAAGAAAAGTTGGTTCAGATCGATGATCATCAGCTCCAACAACTAATGGAACAGTAACCCTAGAAACCCTAGGTACTGTTCTATTAGAAATTGAAGATTGTGGTCTAGAAATTGCTTCAGTAAATAGTGCAATAGTTTCAGCATCACTTCTAAGAATAACATTGTAATACCCCATATTTTCATACGTATTTTTCTAATTAATTATTATTTTCTAAAAAGGGTATTTTAGTAATTCAATTTACTATTTAAATCTTGGAGCCAAAATGATATTTGAATTTTGGTGCCAAAAGTATTTTGAAAACTAATCATTAGTTTGGATAAGATTTATTATCTATTTATCCTATTTTAAAAACCGGATTATTTATATTTCAGATATTTTAATTAAGGAAAAAGCTATATTTTATTATTATTTTAATAAGTCCGAATATCCCATTTAATTAGCTAATAATTTCAGATTTTCTTATGTATAAAATCTGATTTTTATTAGTTAAATTTTTTGGTGAATATTTGGTATTTTATTATTTAATTATTTATTACAATAAATATTATTTACACAATTATTTTTCATTCCTTTAAACTAGAAAAATATATTCCTAAATACTAACTAGGAAGGCCGAAAATATGAGCTTAGGAAAGCTCAATAATTTCGGCCATCCCAAAAAGATTTTGGGAAAATATTTTGGTAATTTGTATTTTTAATTATCTCCCTTAAATCTCCTATTTTCCATAATTCTAATTCTCCATCTTTTTTATATCCAGTTATTATATTTTCTTGCCATTCATTCTTCTTCATTATTCACCAAGCAATTCCAATTTCCATAACATTTTTCATGACATACACACCTTCCATATTCAATTATACACAATCCCTTCAAATATCAAAACTTTCCTTAAATCTTTGCTCACTTCTCCAAGTAAACTCTTAAACCCTAATTACCATAATTATTCCTACATTTTCCTACCATAATTTATGCTCATACTAGCCTATAAATACCCCTTCATACCTCTCACATTCTTCACACCAATTCTCATCTTTTTCTTCTCCTCAATTTTACACAAATCATCCCGTTCATCTTTGAAGCCAATTTTTGGGCACTTATGGTCAGTTTTTGGGGTAGTGACGTGTCCAGAAAGTTGTTCCTCTCGAAAAAACCCTTGAGGATAGGCTCAAGAATCACCCAATTCGGAGCTATATCGAAGGAGTTATAGCCTCTGAAAGTTCTGCCTTTTATTTCCTACGCAAATCCAATTCTTTTCTTCTCCTTTTCTTTTATTCAATTATTATTATTATTATTATTATTATTATTATTATTATGGGAGATTAATATAAAATTATTATGAGTAGTTATAATTATATAAAATCAAATTTTAATAATGTTCATGTTGAATTAATTTAAGAGGTTCATGTACATTTAGTTGGGAGGGTTTAATTTAATTATTTGTGATTATTTGTTAACCTTATATTGATTAAGGTTATATTTATTTGTAGGGTGTTGTTGATCAAGCTACTTGAGAGTTCTTTTGAAGTGTTGTTGGCTAAGTGAAGATCAAGGTACGTTAGGTGGCTAGATACCTTGAAAGTGATCGATTTGAATAACATGTTTGAATGATTTTATGATGAATTGAATTAAATTGAATTGAATTATGATTTATGAATTAAAAGTATGTTTAAAGGATTGGTTTTAATAATTAAATTGGAGTATTGCTTTTTATAACATGTTTTGATTAATTAATTTATTATTCATGTTTAAAAAGGATTGATTTTGAAGCAAGTTGGATTTATTGAAAAGGAGTTTGGATTGTTTTCATTAAAGGTTGAATTGTTGATTTAAAAGAGGATTTATTGTTATGCTTTATAAGCATGTTAGTAATCCCACTATGTGGATTTGGTTTATTTATAAGGCCTTGGACTTTGCATGACCGGGTCTTTCCTCAAGAATAGCCTTGTAACATAAGGAGACTAGCTTGGGGGGTGTGCACACTTGGAAGAGGAATTGGTTTAATTGGTTCAATTGGTTGTATTGGTTTATTATGAGGAATTGGTTTTAATATGAGGAATTGTTTTAAAATAATTGGATTTGGTTTTATTGATTATTGATATTGAAATTATTGAGAATTGGTTTTAAACCATGAGTTTGGAATTATTGGATTATTTATTGGAAATTG